GACGACGACGACGACGACGACGACGACGACGACGCCGACGACGACGAGATCCACCTTCGTGATCTGCCGGATCGGGCAGGGCGGGGAAGGAGGAAGACCTGCGAGAGGAGAAAAGAAAGAGCGGAAAAAGAGAAAGCGAGACAGAAAGAGACAGAAAGAGAGAGAAGGAGAGAGAATGTGTGTATGTGTGTGTGTGTGTGTGTATGAGAGAAAGAGAGAGAGAGGGATGCAAAGACTCGAGGTTTTCACGGCGGTCATAAATGCGCACGAGGCGGTTCCCCAAACAATCCCGCGCCGCCATCTCGGCCGCGATAGCGCATCTAGCCGCGACTCCTTCTGCGCGAAAATGCCGCGTAATGAATATCATAGGGCTGAGCGTCGGGGGTGTAATTCGCACGGCCGTTTAGCGGCGACGATGCGTGCGCGATCGCGCGATCGATAGGACAGTTTAACGTCAGTATTTACATCGCGGCCGAGATCGATAGCCTCGTGTGCATCGCGCCGGCACGGGCAACGTCGTGTACGTTAACTGTTATACGAATTGTAATCATGTAACAGATTGTTTCGCGCTCGCGCTCGCGAGACCACTTCCGCGCTCGGCTAGTCCTCCTCCTCCTCTTCCTCCTCCTCCTCCTCCTCCTCCTCCTCCTCATCGGCACGTTGCCCCGCAAGTGCGCGCGGCGTAAGCACGTGTGTCATAAATCCGCCCGAGGGTGCGTGCGGATCCCGATCGCGACGAGTGTTTGGAATTACTGGTGTTAGCGAGCCGACGTTAGCCCCGCGACGGGGATTGATTGTTACGGAATCGCGAGAGATCGGCCGCGCCGTATCGATCGATCGATCTCGATGCCGGAAGGCCGGACTCGCGCGGATCCGAGCGCGACGGATTAACATGCGCCGCCGGGATTAGTTGAGAGGAAGAGGTAGGGAGGGGGGGGGGAGGCAGACAATGTTAAGCGAAATATAACGACGCCGAAAATACACTGATTTGCGCGCGTGAGAATCGGCGCAGGCAACAATAATGTAATAATAACATTGATCGGCGGTGCCGATGAACGTGGCGAGATCACAGTGTCGCCCGCGACGACGCGCCGCGTGACGATCGGTATCGCGCGCGGCGCGGCGAGGGAACGTCGATCGATTTCGTTGCCTCCGCGCGAGCGATCGTTTCTGCCTGTTCTCTTCCCCTTTTTGTTTCTCACGAGCGCGTCGCGCTACGCGCCGGACCCGGTATACCGTTATAATTGCGCTCCGCGAGAGAACACGCGCGCGCGCGGCTCATGGTGACTCAGAAAACGGCATTGATCGGCGCGCTGTGTGATCGCGCTGTACGACATACTTAAAATTCCCGAGAAACGGGGCACGCGAGCGCGGCTAAAAAGTCGTGAGGGACAGAGAGGGGAAAAAAGAAGGAAAGGAGCCAAGCAAGGATCGGCCGGAGGGTGGGGCGGAACAAGCGAGGGGGAACTACGAGGGAGCAAGGACGAGATATACTCATCGCCCGCGTCCTTCTTCCTGATCCCTCGCCTCCCTCCTCCCTCCTCAGGAGCCTCATCCATCAGTCACTTAATATTTCAAAGCAGCGCGCCGCGCAACATCCACCTCCGTTGCCCCGGCCGCTCCTGATCCGCCAACATGCGGACGTCGGGAGGCCGTGTCGTCCTTTTTAAAAGCTTGAAACACCAGCGGACCCACCGTCTCCGCCTCCGCCTCCGCCGCCACCGCCGCCGCCATCAACACCACTCAGGGCTCGGAGTAAAGTTTTTAGACTTTGCTAAGGGACATTAGAGAGCGCGGAGTCGCTCCTAACATGACGGCGGCGGTGTGAAAGGGGAGGACCGAGTGATGTCTCGCGTCGTTTTCGTGGGGAGAAACCTCGCGGGGCATACAACCCCCGTCGTCGCCGCTACCCCTCGACCGCTCTTACCTATCCGTCCGCCGCTGCCGCCGCCGCCGCTCGAAATTCAAATTTCTCGTTTCACGCGACCGAATGGGATTCTTCCCTCCTCCCGTGAACACCTGCCCGAGTATACGCGCCGCAGTCGGAGTCGAGATCGATTCGCTCCACGTCTCTCGAGGGTGGGAGGGGTGCGCAGGGCACGGCGGTGCTCTTGCGGAGATAAAAGCCGTTGTTGTTTCTTTTCCCTTATCGCCCGGCGGCTGAGACGCGACTGGCTTGCCCAGATTGATTTGCGGAGGATCAGCCTGATCGGGGAACGCCATTTCGAATGTGGGCTCACACGCAACGGGTGAATCGCGCGAAGTTTCGACATGTATGACGTCGGAGTTTCAACCCCGCTCTTTCTCTCGGAAGCAATTTCCCGGAAATTTCTCCGAGAGTGAGCGAGTTAGAACGAAATTAACGAGGCAACTCTGACGTCCGAATTTCATTCCGAAGATTATCGGTTATGTCGCGAGGTGATCCGTGCGCGTTTCCTCCGAAGACGGCTCGAGGTCTCGGAGAATTTATCGTAGAATTTATCGAGATTCAATCGGTAATCTTTTCAAAACAGGATTTCGGGATGCTAAAGTTGTTTTGTTAATTTCAGGCTAACCCGTTGCACGCTCCGGAGAATAACAATATTTTCGAGAAGACCTTTGGGAGATAGATTCAAGCTCTCCTAGATGTTCCGCAAAATTTTACACGTCGCGAAAAATGATAACCTGCATGTAAAAATGATAACAGCTGCTAATATTATTAATAAATATAATTAGTTTACAGACTGATCTCATCTAACGTACGCGATATACTCGACTGTTAAGTTACGACAAAGCGTTAGATTTCGAATGGAAATGGTTCTGCGTGTTGAATTCGTCGGCAGAGTGACGCAGGTATGAGGTTTCGCGCATAGTGCAAAACACTTTGGAGAAAGAGAGGAGGAGAGAGAGGACGCGGGGGAGAGACTCCGGAGAACGGCGCGCGCAGAGAGAGAGAGAGAGACAGAGAGAGAAGAAATTCTAGAAAATTATTACGAGAGAATAAAACTCTCCCTCTCTTTCTCTCGAAAGTTGTGTTCTCAGAGAATAAAATATTCAGAGAGTAGCTGTTGGAGAGAAGAACGACAGCTCGGCAGCTCTCGGGAATAAACTCGCCGATGTTTACCTTCAGAAAAAGTCACACGTTCGATCCTCGATTCCTGTCCGGTGCATTCCTGCCGTTCTTAACGAGCCTCGAAATTGATCTCTCCCCGCGTTATAGAGGTTTCCCGCGGGGGGGGGGGGGAGAGGAACATGCAGGCAATTCACCAGTCGGCCTGTTTCCTGTATACATGTCTGCCATTATACTCACATCGTAGATCGACGTAGATTGCGAGTCGCGCGTATTTTTCTCTTCGCCTCGATCGTCGTGAAGCGCCGCGCGATGATCGTGACCGCCGCGAGTTAAATTGGCGTGGCGACTTCTCCGTCGCAATTATAAATAGGCTGGCAAAGCGCGGCAGGAGAGAGAGAGAGAGAGAGAGAGAGAGAGAGAGAGAGAGAGAGAGAGAGAAAGAGAGAGAGAGAGGGAGGACGTGGACAGTGCCCGAAGCGGTCCCGAGGATGTTTCAGGAATATCGAGGACGTAATTATCCCCGTAATTACCGAGCGCGGTCTTGACTCTTGAGCAGCTACGTCTTGGCGCTCGGGAGTGGGGGTAGTCAGTGGTTGGCCTTGTGCGGTAATTGTACTAATTATTACTGCCCTTCTCCCCTCTTGCCCTCGCCCTCTCTCCCCGTGCACCGTCAGTTTCCTCCCCTTGGTTGCCCAATTACCCCTGGTGGCCCGCGAGAGGAGAACCCGGACTCGCGGAGATTTCAGAACCTCGTTTCTCGGAAAAAATCTTTGTTAGCGCCCGAGAAGAGAGAGAGAGAGAGAGAGAGAGAGAGAGAGAGAGAGAGAGAGAGAGAGAGAGAGAGAGAGAGAGAGAGAGAGAGAGAGAGAACACCCGTGGGCTGTCGTAAAATTGACGGTGGGAGGTTTCTGGGAAATCGTAATTAATTTACGGCCGCATAAATTAAGGATAATCGGCAGGGAACTAGGCATGCACAAGTGCAAGCCGAGAACCGGTGTGTAGTCGTGAGTTGAATTATTCTCGGTGGCACGACAGATTTCGAGGAGCGTAACGAGCCGAGGCCGTCTCGGAGTACAAAAAACCGCGTAGTGATTTACTGTGAATTTCATCGACAGCCTTTGAGACGAAATTCCTTAACTTCAAATTAATCCGACGGAAATATCCTTCGATCGAAGACATCAAAATTGTCCTTCACAAACATAAAAAAAAATAAAGAACAATATAACAGCGTATAATTATTTTGATTATTCGTGTAATTAAGTAACACCGACAATTATAACATCAAAAGACATCTATAATTTTAAACGTATTTACGTATTTTTGACGCACCGTGATTGCAGGTGAAATTTGTATCAGCAATTAAATCGAACGAGGCTCTGACTGATTAAACATGTTTCAACAGTTTGGGCTAAATCTTTCAGCTTGTCCGCCTGCCCGAAGAAGTGAAGACTGGAATGTTTATAAGACGTCGAGAAAAAAATGGACACAATGGACACGGTACCAACCCGGTCACAAAACAAACATATTGAAACATTTCGAAAATTACAATGTAACATTACGTCACGCTACGGCCCTGAGGCCACTGACGTGACCCCAAGCGGCGGCACGGAAAGCGACGTCATGCGCACGGCGGGAGATAAGCATAGTCCGCGAGCTATTGCAGCAGAGCGGACCGCATGGACAATGGTATCGACGCACTTGTCGTGACGCCAACGTGACCCACGTAGAGCCGCCGGACGTGGATGCACCGCGTGCTCTGCGACGATTTATCACACAATTTAGCCGGTGCCGCGCGTTCGACAGCTCTCTTTCTCTCTCTCTCTCTCTCTCTCCCACACACTCATACACGACGCACGCACGCACGCACGCGCACACACACACACGCATACACCGCATTCCCTGACGACTCCAGCGTGCATGAAAACGACCTGTCGAACATCCCACTCACCCTGCGCTTGTCGTAGGCCGCCAGCCACTCGTCAGCCTTTCGCTTGTCGTACAACACCCTGGCGAGGCTGCCGTGCGGCCGGTAGCTCTGCACGGAAGGATTCCCGGCGCCGTCGCGACGGTCCCCGACATTGTTGGTGACATTGCAGGTGTCTTGACAGCCGTAGGTGCACCTGGTGATGGGCTCGTCCGCCGCACCCGCCATGCTTGCCGCGAATAGCGCGCCCAACGAACGAACGCTCGGTCGGCACTAGGCGCGCATCGTTGAACACGTGGCGTGCTTTCCCGTCGCATGAATCACGACGGGTGAGTCGGCCGATCGCGATCGCGTCGCCGTTCGCTGCTACACGGCCGAACACCGTACGCCTCGTCCGCGTAAACACTTCACTCAACACGTGGCCATATTGCGATACTGACGCCGCGCCGCGGCGACTCAAGCTCGCCGGCGGTGTCGGTAAGTGTTACCGACGAGTGTCCCGCGATTATTGAAGCACGCTTGCAGCTCACTTCACGATCTTTCGAATCGCAATATGGTGGCCGTTGGCGGTCAAACGGCTGTCGCTGCCTCAATTTGCCGGTATTATGATGCTTCAATGTGAGTATCTTTATGAGTACATTGTCGAGTACAAGCGTATGCGTGAATGAAAGGAAGCGAGCGATTCGGGGTGGCGTCGAACATCGTCATCAGCGTGTTCAACCTCGATCGTTACGACGAGAGTCGCGGTGCGGGGGAGGGGCAGGACAAGTCGTCACGTATCTCTTGTTTGCTCTTACAAGCATCGAATTATTACGCCGATAATTACGCGAATGCAGGTCATGATTCTGTGATTGAGCGCTATGCTCGTTTACGGTAACGGATGCATGATGTCAAGAATTAGGCTAAGTTGCCGTAAGATATCAGGTCGTGTGAACGTGCATGAGTGTAGAAAGCGGCCATTGGTGTATGATGGTCCAACACACTCGTACGATGGACGATTCTAATGCTTTCTTTATGCGTTTGATAATCCATGTTCGACGCTCGATGCGCAAGCCGATCTCTTGACCATCATTTAATAACAAATTTTCCATTGACTTTTTACAATTAGCATATTGATTCGTATATATATATATATATATATTATACAATACATCTGCGATGTTACCTTGCCCAACGATATATCTTTGATTTTAATTATTTCATTAACAAAAAATTATTTTTGCAACGCACAACAATATATTACACAGCTACAAAAAACATTACTCCAACGAAACGTTATTTAAATATTAACAAAAAATTTCGAGACACTCGAGTTATTTGGCTTCTCTTGAATCAATTTTTTTTATTTTTTAACTGCGATATTTTTCCGATCTTAATAAAACTCGGAGGAAAAGTGACGATGTCCTAAACTAAATGTTTTATAATATAATTTTACGATACAATTTGCAACAAAGGGCATGGCCAACATAATCCTTTGTTGCGCCAACTCGATTCTCTTCTGCATCGAGATACTTTATCCACCACGAAACGCGATAAAATATTAATTGGTCAAGGCAAGATATTTTAACAAAATATACACACACACACACATACACAGAGACGCACACCTCACTCCAAAACTATCGCACAAGTGCGGCTTACATATTTTCAATATTTTTTATCGGCCAACGTCCTCCCCCGGAGGAAGTTACGTGGATGGGCATAAAACTTTTAGGCGGGATAAATATGGCGCAGGGAGAGTTCTCGGCGCACCGGTGCGCACCGGATGAATATTTTAGATGCCACATTGACGCATCGCGCGCGATTTGCTCTCTCGTTCTTACCTTCTCTCTCTCCCTCTCTCTCTCTCTCTCTCTCTCTCTCTCTCTCTCTCTCTCTCTCTCTCTCCTTCTTTCTTTTTCCTCCCGCTCTCCTTCGTACTCACGCGCGCCCTGATAATTCATTAATTTATGATAAGCTCGGCTGCCGCCCACGGGCCACGTCCTCCCCCTCCACACGCCATAAATCATTTTCGCGTCTGACATTAATTGCGCGCCACCCCTCGTTACCGGGAGAAATGAGATTTTTTTAATTGGCGAATTTTTCACCGCCGCTGACACCCTACCACCCGCTCCCGGTTCTCCTTGGTACCTCGTAACGCGTACCGGGCGAGAGAAAGCGCGCAGAGGAGTGCGGGGAGAGGTACATAATGGCTTTCTTAAATTTGACAATGATACGTCGCGCGGGGGAGGTGCTCTCTCTCTCTCTCTCTCTCTCTCTCTCTCTCTCTCTCTCTCTCTTCCTTTATTCCGCGAACAGACGCATGTGTTCCGTAACAAGCGTAAAAAATTAAAGAATAAAGATATGCGCTTAACGTTCATCTCTGGCAGGATATATTTTTCACGTCGGATCAACCGGCTCACCGTGAATTGTCATGGTTGATGTCTTGGGTGACAATTAACAATGATCGTTTCCGGAGAACGTCTGAGATGATATTGTCGCGAATTTAAGAAAACTGTGCGTGCACGAATGCCTGGCCACGCACAATACGATGAAACTGCACGCGTGTGTACGTCCGATTCGAGGGATGTATTTATTTATTCGTCTTCTGACCTTGCCGAGGATACCAAAGCTAGAGGACTCATTCGGACGTGGCTAGCGATTTCGAGTGTCTAAGTGTGCGGCGCATGTAGTCGCGAGAGAAAACACCGCAATCTCGTCGCTTTGTAGCGCATCTCTACGTCACGATTTTCCGATCGAGGTGACACTGGAGATTCCAGTGCGCGCTAGACAATCGGGAATTGGAGTATCACGTTAACAGACCGGGCTATTAAGTTGTTTTCTCGAAGTTTCGAAAGGCCGTTGTCACTGCTCGCGACGATTCCGCCCGCATATTAGAAATTTCCGTGTACGCGCGCGCGCGTAAAATAGAAATCGCATTAGTAAGCGGCGAATCAAAGTCACACTTCCGCGAAGTCTCATCTCGAGGCATCTCGCGGACATTCTTACCTACGTCCTGCTTCCTTCGGAAGGGCCCTAACTCGATAAGTCCCCTCGGTACCTGAAGTGAGCTCATAATCATGAACGAAGCGCGCAACCGCTTATTACAAGCGAGGGCATTGTAAATTTGCAGGGAAGAAACGGAGAAGCGCAGAAGTAAGAGCGGACGAGGCCAAAAGCGAGACAGAAGAGGAAGATGCACCGAGAAAGAAAGAGAGAGAAAGAGAGAGAGAGAGAGAGAGAAAAGGAGAAAGCTGGAGCATTTGAAAAGGAGCAACTGAGACAAGGCGACAGGTACGTCACGTAAGATAGCAAAAGAGAAAGATGCCGAGAGAGAGTGAGAGAGAAAGAAGGAATAAGGAAGAGCGGCGGGAGGACGGGGTGTGCTAGGGGAAGGAACACGATGAGGGAGGCAAAGAGGAGCCGAAAGGACAAAGCGGCGCAAAACGTGCCCCTCAGGCGTCTAAAGTCTTCCTTCAGCGTTGAAAATTTATCGTTCTACAAGCGCCGGTGAGCAGAAAAATAGCGGGGCGGTGAGAGGGGGTGGTGAGAGAGGGAGAGGAAGGAGCGGCAGGGGTGAGGGGTAAAAGGGAAGTGAGTGTCGAGGAGGTATGGGCACGGGCGTTTTGTTCCATTTATCCGGGCAAATCCAGATTTTGTCGCAGAAAGCGAGAGAGAGAGAGAGAGAGAGAGAGAGAGAGAGAGAGAGAGAAAGAGCGGAAGGAAGGGGAAGAAAAAGAGCCGATATTTAAGATAATGAGGATATCTTTTCCATTTTCAAAAGCGGGCCGCGCGCATAATTAACGATACGCGTGTGGAAAACGCTAATTAGACCCGGACGTAGAGGTGCAAGCCGTCATTAAAGCGAGCGCGTACGTGTGAGTAAGTGCGCTCGTACGCGCTCGATGACTTATCGTGGGCCGTAATTACGCGGTTCGGACTCGCGTCTCGCTCGTGTGCGCTCACGTACGCGGTGCGTAAACACGGAGCCGACGACGACGTCGTGGGGCACGGTACTCCGAAAGCGGTAAAACGGCTTGAATTCCAGGTGGGCATCAGGAAATAATTTAATTATGCGCCGGTAACGATAGCGGAGTGACGCGACGATAATTTGACGGTTAAAAGCAGGCTCTCGGACGACTCGTGCGCACTCCCGGCCCTGAGAGTGTTCTCGGCTATCTCTCTCTCTCTCTCTCTCTCTCTCTCTCTCTCTCTCTCTCTCTCTCTCTCTCTCTCTCTCTCTCTCTCTCTTTCTCTCTCTCTCTCTCTCTCTCACTCTCACTCTCTCTCTCTCTCTCTCTCTCTCTCTCTCTCTCTCTCTCTCTCTGTCTCGATGGGATCGCGACCTTATCTCGCACCCTTGAGAGGTGGAGTTTGACGTTCGGTTGCGTTAATTCGTGGTAACAATCGCAGGATGATCGAGAGGTGCGCGCGGTCTTACACGTCATGCTTGTCGTGAGATGCGCACATAAATCAACGAATCTCGTTTCCTCTCTCTCTCCCCCCCTCTCTCTCTCTCTCTCTCTCTCTCTCTCTCTCTCACGATCCCACGTCCCTCACGATAACACCTCCAGTGTGGTTCCTCTCTGTGTGCTTGAGACTGCTATTTAGTATCGTGATATTTCTTAATTATTGTAAATTATTAAGCGTGAGCTCACACTTATTATCTCTAATGCAATCCGCGCGCGATCACACGCCGCGTTGTAACACCGCGAGCTCCGAGATCTCACGTAGAAAGAAAAAAGTTTCAGACGCTAATGCATCGGGAATAGAATAACTTGTGCCTGAATATACGGGAAATTGCTGCACGATATAGCAATTAAGGAGCGATTATTACCCTAACGCGCACGCGGAGAGTATTACATCACTCCGTAATGATACGGCGCACTTCGAGTCAAGTGATCCATGAAGGGACCTCAGATATTTTCACTATCATCTGAAACTATTTCGCGCTCACACTTCGCGCGCTTGCATCACGAGCACGCGATAAACGCGAGGGAATGGGATAAACGAGAAGGGTTTCTTTAACTAATTAATACTTTCACTTATGATCGAAAGCGAGACCGAGACAGACGGAGATAGGATAAGAAAGTTTGACGCAAGTCGCCTCTTGGTATCAATTTATTTTTAACGCTGATATTTCTTTGTAACACAAATGTTTTTTCGGAGCAACGCAGATACTCGTTACTTGTTTTCGCTATTTTCCACAAAAAAGAAAGGCGAATCAAGATAGGGAGTAAGAAAGACAGACGAGCCGCCTCTTAGAATAAATTTACTTTTAACGTTAACATTTGTTTGTAACGTTAATGCTTCTCGGAATAACTTGAACGCGGTGACTTGTGCTCACTGTTAGCTGGACAGACTAAGGTAGGGTGAACAAAATAGACGAACCGCCTTTCGAAATCAATCAAAGATACTCGCACAAGCGTCTCTCCGATCGGGAGCATC